ACTGCTCCTGAATAGGTAGCTTGAGAGACTCTGCCAAGGAGAGGGGAAGGCATCATGTTTCCCCTTGAAGGGCTGTGGTGTAAATGCCTTTCCAGCTCCTGCTGGTTTCAGTCAAGGAATAAAACGCCAACCGTGGGACATTCATTCCAGCTTCATGCAGGCTTCATGCCAACCACAGAGCAAATGTGCCGCCCTGCAGTGTGTGACCCCCTTTGCTGACTGGTAGATTGTGCCAACAGACACAGATGCTCCAGCTCAGCCGGGAGCTTGTATTTCCAGCTGCTGTGGTATGGAAGTGGAGTAACCAAAGACTTCTCTATGACTAATTAGCATCCTTGTGCACCCCAGATCTGACTTGTGGTCTGCCGGCCAGATGCGAAGTGACCTGGCCTGGGGCTCTTACAGGCAGTGCATTGCAGCCGTACCCTGGAACCCACTGCATGGGCTCTGTCCTCACAGGCCTTCTCTCCTCCACATCACCGAACCGCACCCTACGACTCTCACACTGAACCTGTTTGGAAGTTGCTGAGGGTGTGGCAGGTCTCCTGCTGTATTTCATTCCAGGGCTCATTGAAACAGCTATGCTGGGCTACGACACCAAGAGAACTGGGCTCCTGCCCTGCTCATCCACTTGGTACACTACAGTTGTCAGGCAGTTCAGATGCATGAAACAGCCTCAGAAGCAGCTGTGTTCATGTGCATTTGCTCATTCTTGATAAATGATGGAGATATCTCCTTTTATTCATCCGCCTTGAGACAAGGTACCTGGGCAGAGGGTGCCTCTTTTAAAATACCAGTGAGGTGTGGAAGCATACTGATGACAACTCCTACATGTCTGAGAGTTTAATGTCTTTTGTTAGACCTCCAGGTCAAACAGTTTCATTTCTGCCCGCTGCCAGGGGTAACAAAACCCCGTGACATGAGCAGTGCAGTACCAGGCTTTGGACATCGCAGTGTGCAGCCACCTGTAGTTCCTCCTGCTGAGAGTGGAAAGAGCAGAGAGGTGACACACTTGGGGGCAGCTAGTGGAGGGGCAGTGCTGAGACCCCCTGATCTAGGTGGGGACAAAGGTGAAAGGGGTCTTTAACATTGTTTTTATTCATGAATCTTATCTTAGGAAATAAAAGCTTGAACTTTAAAGAGACATTCAGCTCTCTAAGATACACATAAAGACAGATACTTATCTTCTACCAGCAGGCCTCTCTGAGTCCACGTCAATATCCCTAGGAGTTTTGTGTTCTTTTCTTCTCTTCCTTTCAGTCTCTGATGGGTCCTTGTTTGGTTTGTGGTTAAGTTTAATAATCAAAAACATTTCTCCAACATTCTGGTGTGGAGGCAGGAGAAGATTTTTTGTTTTTTTTTAGCAAATCCAATCATTACCAGTACATTTCCAAGTAAGCCGCTTTTTCCTGCTGCACTGTAGAACAGGGACTTGATAACACAACTTTGTTTGGTTTGTGGTTACATTTTTCTTACACAACTTGACCCATTTCAGAACCATGTGCGAAGGTCTGTGCTGTCTCTGGCTGGGTAGACTCCTTTTAGTCACCTTGCAGCTGTTCATCTCTGGTGCCTCTTTCACTCCCATTGAATTTTTCCATTCAAACTATAATTCAAAAGTCTTTCTTATTTCAAAGACTTCTAGCAAAGGAATCAGGAGCTGCAGTGGTTTTGCTTATATTTCCTTAGTTAACTGTAATAATAGGAAAGGTAATTTAAGTTCCCCACTTCCACTTCAACTGTAGAGTAGATCGTTGCTGATACAAGTCAATTCAACTCCATCAGCCAGGCGGTAGCTGGTAGAAACCACTGTAGTTCCACAGATGTCAGCTTCAGCTTGACGTTAGATTTGGATGCCAGTGATTTGATTCAGAGCTCCGAATTGGTTTTCCACTTCGATTCAGAGATTCAGCCATAGGGTATAATGGGGAATCAATGAAATATCTATAACTTTGTTGTTTTTTGTCTGATTCAGAGGAAACTTGAAGGGTGGTAGCCTCTGCTAAGATTATGAAGCCTGTCAAGTTTCATGGAGATAGGTGCAGGGGTTTGGGGGAAACTGGATCCCAAATTCTGGAAAGCAAAACTCATGTTACGTGTATGTGTTATGCCACTGTGGGGTGAAAACTGCAGGGACGGTATCCCCTGCTGAGGCCACAAAGCCTGCCAAGCTTGAAGGAGATAGGTGCAGAGATTTGGGGGAAACTGCATCTCAAGCTGCTGACAGGCAAAACTCATGACATAGATGACCCTGTGTGTGTTCAGGTGCAGTGGAGTGAACACTGCAGAGGTGGTAGCCTCTGCTGAGGCCACAAAGCCTGCCAAGTTTCAAGGTAATAGGTGCAGGGAGTTGGGATAAACTGCACCTCAAGCTGCTGACAGGCAAAACTTGTGACATGGGTGCTTGTGCAACTGTGTTTGTCTTGGGGCACAGGGGGGTGAAATCTACTGCAGGCCTGGCTTCTAGGCTCTGCCAGGCCATGAAGCCTGCCACATGTTAAAGAGATAGGTGCAGGAGGAGTCTGGCTTCAGGGGCCCTGCCCCTCTGGCTGCTAACAGGCAGAACTCGTGACGTGGGTGGGTGACAGTGTGTGTGTGTTAAGGTGCACCCTAACTGGCGCTGGGGCCTCTGTACAACACAGTGAGGTCTCCTCCTCCCCTACAGCCTCAGGTCCAGTCCACCACTTTACATGACAACAGGTAAAATAACTTAGTGACTGACTGAGCACTAGCAGTAGCACCAGCAGCATCTCAGGTAGCCAAACTGAGCCCTTCTTTCCTCTCAAGCAGGAGCTGCTTCTTCTCTAGCATGTTTGTTAAGGTATGCTCTAACTGTGCGACTCTATGTGTGTGTGTACTTGTGTTCAGGTGTGCCCTTCCTGGCGCCGGGGCCTCTGCACAACACGGCAGTGTGCCCCAGTGAGGTCTCCTCCTCTCCTACAGCCTCACATCTGGTCCACCACTTTACATGACAACAGGTAAAATAGATTAGCTGGCTCAACACCAGTAGCAGCAGCAGCAGCATCAAAGGTACCCAGACGGAACTATCAAAGAGCCTTTCTTTTTATAAAGGAATTCACAACAAGAAGTAAAGATGTTGTGTGATGTTGGATATATGATGTTACTCATGGTGTGTGATAGCTTATCTTGTGTTTTTATGTCTATATGTTTATTATGGAAAAAAATGAGTACTTAAAAAATATATCTTAGGAAGCTTTAGGGTTGAAAAACCCTTTGTCAGGCTGAGGAAGTACCTGCAGTTGGTCCTGGATGGAAGGAATAGTAAAGAAGCCAGAGGCTGGCCTGGCACACAGTGCAGGCAAGAAAGCCAGTCAGTGAAAATGGAAATGGAGGTGTCAGGGGGTGAGGGACAGGCTGGGGTTGGGGGTGGCGGGGAAAGGGGGATGTAGCAGTGCAGTGAAAAGTGCAGAGGTACCTGGGGTGTCAGATGTCCGGCAGGTCGCAGCGTACCAGAATTCCACTGTCTAATCTGTATTGAGACCATGAATTTCTGTACCTACTACCTGCAAGACTGATGAAGTGCAGTGCATAGGCCCAGCTCTGAAAAGTGGTTTGTACATTCAAACAAGCACCTAACCTCATCACCAGAACTGAAGCCAACTTTCTACAGCTCAAAACACAAAACCTGCCAACTATTTCCAGTACCTCCACAAACTGCACACCAGAATCTATCAAAGACAACAGTACCCAACTACTTGTGGGGGCACATTCCTCACCAAAAAAACACTCTGCCTCCAGTCTCTCAGGCCTGATCCTGAGAGGAAACAAATTACAATGCAAACCACTTTTCACAGCTGGGCTTATGAACTTCACTTCATCAGCCTCCTAGGTACAGAAGCTTCTGGCTTCTTTACTATTCCTTCCATCCAGGACCAACTGCAGGTACTTCCTCAGCCTGACAAAGGGTTTTTCAATGCAAAAGCTGGCATCCCGGGTAGCTAAGCTGAGATCACCAGGAGCCTCACAACTGCACTGCAACCAGCAAATGTCAGGCCTGCCAAAGACATGTCAGGTCTGGGCATTCCCCAGCCAAGACTGTGTGCATGTGTGTGTTAGCTGGAGGTTAGGGCGCCTCCTACCCACCTTTCACCGGGTATCATTGGTTCTGGCATTTACGGGGCTGCTGCACCACCAGCAGCCCCACCAGGCCTCCCTACCCTGGCAGGGTGCAGTTTTAGTGGTCATGCCCAAGACCTGGGGCCTCCTCCTTCCCCATAGTCCCAATCCCATACCTTCAAATTAGTCATGGCAGGGTAATGAGCTCAGCAGAGACATATTCTTCCCCTGCTGGCTGGTGATGCAGTTAGTGCCCCCTCCAGCTGAGAGTGGGGCATTACTTGCCTTTTAAAAAATTCAAAAAAGGAAATCCGTGCAGATGGAGTGAGGAGGGTGACACTCAGTCTGTCTGCAGATGGAGCTTGGGGAACCCCAGAAGCAGGAGGCTCACCTTTAGGAACACCAGCTGCTCCACCAAAGCAGGATGTAAGCAGGTGCGGTGGGGTGTCACAACATCCCCAGCGATGCTGAACACCCTCTCGGTCGGCACACTGGTCGGTGGACAGGACAGGTGTTGCTGGGCAACCCTGGCCAGATCTGTCACATCTGGCTGCGGCTTGCTCAGTAGGCCAAGGGGTCACAGTCCAGTGGCTCCACATCCTCAGTAAGATAGGTAGCCACTGAAGCCTCAGCACTATCTGCCCAAGGCTGGTGTCTGGTGCATTCGGACCCCAGCATTGAAGCCATGCCCATGGCCCACATTGGCATTGGCTGGCGTGGAGGAGACTGGCTGGTGCTGGTGCTGGTGCCGGCGCTGGGAGTGCTGGCACGGGAAAGTGGATCCCCCTCTTCCAAATCTCCTCGCCTCTTCACTTCAGCCTCCCTGACTTTGTTGACCAGCACCTGCATCCAGTGATCGAGGGTTTTGATGCTGCCAGTGCACATGCTCCCCTTCACTCTTGGGTCGCACATTGCCCGCCATCATGTCGATCGTACTGGACCACAAGGGATCCAGCCTTCTCCTGATGACCTCCTTCAGCTGCCTCACCAGTGCTTGCACGTCTGGTGACAGTGGCTTTTTTTTTTTTTTT